GAATAACTAGATTCAGATTAAGGGCAAACCAATTTATTAATATTTTAAACTTATCTTAATTATAAATTATGCCAGCTCAGTTAACTGTAGGATCGAGTGGATAATTAGATGCTCGAGAAGTGCCAAGTTACGTACTGAGTTACATCAATTCTCTCGCAGAATATTGATGAATTTACATACCTCAGCTGGCATGCTAGGAAGAATATTTCAATGAATTTCAAAGTCAAGTTGCATGTTTCTGAACAGTTGGATATTATGTTAGAGTATACACCAAGTATGGTCACATTTTATTGGTCTTGCAAGTTACACCATGTTAGGCTAGAAGTAAATTAGTCGAACATCGTTTAAGTAAGGTTTTTAACTACTAGTTAAATACATTTTACTTTATGTAATCGGGTGGTTGTCTAATAAGTTACTTCTATGACTGGTAGTCATCTTAAGAATCATGTTTTAATGGATAGTTATTTTAGGGTTATACTAGGTTATGGACCGTGTGTTCACACGGGTACATGAAAGACTTTTTTTTTTTTTATCTAAACAATTTCAAAATCATATTACTAATATTAATCAAGTTGTAATATGTAACAAATTCAAAGTGTTAAATTTACCTTTATGTCAATAATCTCAAGTAAAATTATAGTGTGCAATGATGTATAAAGATCTTTTTGTAACATTACACATAATAGATAAACATGATAAATAGCATAAAGTATTTTACACATAATAGATAAACATGATAAATAACATCTCTGGTTGCGGCTGCAATTTTCACTTTACAAACTGATTTTACAGCAAGAACTTTGAGTTCTACAATAAAAAAAAGTAAAAAAGCAATAAAGGAGCGACGATTGAAGTTGCACGCTCAATCAAGAAGAATAATTAACAATGCGGAAATCAAAATGGAAAAATAGTAACTACCTTGTAATGTTTTGTGAAACCTTTTTGGACGGAAATTTCTTCGATCTCTTAACTTAATATTGCCTTTTGATATCTTTTCGTTTAAACTTTTTGAGATTAGATTCACTTCAGACTTTCAGGCTATACAAATTCAATAAAACTGAGAATGACATTCATTTGGCACAAATTTTTGAAATCATAATTAAACACGTTTTGAAATGCCAATATCATAATTCAAAGCAAAGGAGACACTTCCACACAAAGAAATTGTCACTACAGCTTGACGACAATCAAGTGGCTCGAGATGTTTAAAAGATCACAAACGGGCAGCCATTCAGAAGTCATTCGTGCAAAAGGTAAAATTGTAGCTACCAAATCCAAGTGGAACTCGAGTTCCAGAAGTATATACACTAAATGAGCAACACAAGATAATATTTGATAAAAATTAGTGCTTAATTCTGAATGCTTAATATTGAATCACAATTGTTGAATTCATTAAGTAGTTAGAAAATAATTAATAAAAGGTAACTTTTATTACTTAGATTTGTACTACATTTTTAGTTCCACTATAATGCCCTAACTGACAGGTATGTCCCAACAACTATTTCGGTGTTCATTCTCGCTATACCTAAAATAGTTAACTCAAGCTAAATTAGTAGACCTAGATGCTGACTTATATATTGATCATCCCCTCCCCCTTGGCCATGTGGGACAAGGGACCAGCTAGCTTGGTCGGGGCTTCACAATCACCCTTCCTTCAGATACTTGCGTACTCGCAAAACCCAAGACACACAGCACAACACAACATATAGCACATGCAGTTGGCCCAGGCTCCTAGAACAGATGCGTTTCACCTCTCTCACACCTCCTATGAGCTCAGAGGTGTCACAAAACACTTGTCTTCTACGTGTGAGCTCAGAGGTGGGTCCGTACCCGAACTAGGGTCAGCTCTGATACCAATTATAACGCCCCAACTGTCAGGTCTGTCTCAATAATTATTTGAGTGTTCATTTTCGTTGTACCTGAAATGGTTAACCCAAGTTAATTAATAGACCTAGTTGCTGATTTAATATATTGATCATTCCCTCCCTCCTTCGCCGATGTGGGACAAGGACCAGCTAGCTTGACATACTAGCTTGGTCGGAGCTTCACAACCACTTAATTAGTTAAGAAGTTATTTTCTTTTACCAAACAAGCTTAAATGAAAAAGTATTTAATCTAATATTTTTAAGCATTAAGTTGTTTTATCAAACTGGCCTTTGGTCTATATATTTGTTTGTAACTCTTCTTCTGAAGAAAGAAGAAAAGAAGAAAATTTTATGTTTTAGTCTTTGTCTCACTCAATTTTATGAAGTTTTAGGATTCGACTTGAATAGAATCCTAACACATCACTACCAACTGCTTCCTGAAGGAAGTATTCAGACTGCATGGCAATCTCTTTTCCAGCAGTTGGGAGTAAAGCTCAAGATGAGCAAAACATATCATTCACCCACCGTTGGCCAAACCGGATGGTTTTTTGTTTTTTGTTTTTCTTTTTATAAAACAACTAATGGTTAGAGTCTTATTTACGTTGCTTCTTGATAGAGGCGTAAAGAATAAAATTAATTAGGGTTTATTTTATGGTTATTTTGGTAATTTTATATTAGATTGGTTAAGGTTTCATTTTGTTATTTCTATTTAAAAGGCATAGCAGCCGTAACTTAGTTGTTGATAAATTTATTAAAAAAAGAGAGGTTCTCTAAAAAATCCCAAGGTGTGTTGAATTTGGTCCTTATTTCCAGGTATTCTTAGAATCAACAGATCTAGGAAGATTAATTGCAGGTTAATTGCTAGGCATTCGTGCGTAGAATCAATGGCCTTTAACAATTAATTGCTAGGCATTCGTGCGTCGAATCAATGGCCTTTAACAGTTACGGTTTCTAGGGTTACAATTGGAGGCTTCCGGCTGCATTTGTTTGTACTAGAGCCGAAAGGTCTTGTACCACAGAAGCTGTGTTCGTGGATTCGGTAACATTGTTTTATAATCAATCTGGTTTGTTTGTTTCTTTACTGGATCTAATATTAGTGTTTTGTTGGAATAAGTTAATACGGTTATTTAGACCGCGTTGGTGTGCCTTGCTATATTGGTATGTTTCCTTGATATTGATTTGCGGAATCACTTGTACTAATTTGCTTTTGGTTGTATCTGTGCCAATTGTGCCCGGGGGAATATTGATTAATTAACATCACTTTTGGTTGGATTTTGGAGTCTGTATCCAGTATACCTGGGGGCAACGTGTACCCCTTCCTATTTTTTGCATTTCTAGTCCTTATTGTAATTTTTTATCAATCTTTTTATATTTTACAAGTTTAGTCCCTGTCATTTTTTCTCTCTCTTCCAAAAAAAAAACATCTCTAATCTTTCAACGAGCATATCTCCCAATCCGTGAAGAATTTGTGAACGAATTATATATGAAATTTATAGTACTCGTCGAGATCTATCCAACAAGATCTATAGTGAATATTTTTCTGCGCTTAAAATGATTTAATTCTAATGGGCAGAATGAAGGTGGATATCCAGTTTTACAAGATGGATAACCAACTTGTTCTAAATTGGTTATCCATTATGTTCATGCTGATTATCCAAACAGTTTGAACTGGTTATCCATCTTGTTTATACTGCTTATCCATTTAGTTTGTATGTCTATCCAACTTGTTTGTAATGGATATCCCACTTGTTTGAAATGGATATCCAACTCGTTTGTACTGGATATCTATCCATTTGGTTTATATGCCTATCCAACTTGTTTTGTAGTTGTAATCCAACGGGTTTGTATGCATATCTAACTTGTTTGTGCTGGATATCCAACTCGCTTGTACTGGATATCCATCCACTTCATATTAATTATCCAACTTCTTAATTCAAAATAAGTTGGTTAATTATCTTCTTAAACTGGATATCTAATGTGTTCATATTGATTATCCAACTTCTTTGTGGTGGTTATCCAATATTTTTTTTCCTTGCTCTGTTATGAAAATGATTGTCAAATTTTTTATACTAATTATCCAACGTGTTGCACTGATTATCTAATTATTTTCTATTGATTATCCAAATTTTTTGCAATGCTTATCCAATCATTTTTTTTTCTTTTTTTTTGAAGAGTGAATGTCAAAAATATTATTGGATACCAAGTACAAACAGAATGGATAATCAGTCCAAACCAGTTGGATAATCAGTAGGAACACAACGGATAACAATTTTTCAAACAAAAACGAAAAACACATTTCTTCATTTCTGCTCGTAAAATTTAAATGCATTTAAAGTTCAAACAAAATATTCAACATTGATCTTATCAAATAGATCTTGTCGAACACTATAAATTTCATATATAATTTGTATTCTAATTCTTTACGGATCAAAAGATATATACCATACAAGAATATTAATATAAACTAAATTGGTTATCTATATTTTTAAACTGGATATCCATCTTAATTCTGCCCATCGAAATTTGATTGTTTTTAAGCTCAAAAAAAATATTTGAAATGGATCTTGTTGGATAAATCTCATCGAGTATTATAAATTTTATATATAATTCGTTCACAAATTCTTTACGGATTGGGAGATATACTAGTTTCAATATTAGAGATGTTTTTTAAAGGAGAGAGAAAAAAATCAAAGGGACTAAACCTGTAAATTATATGATGTTATTTAGAAAAATGGAAAAAAAAGTATGGTAATGACTAGTAGTGTAAAAAATAGGAGGGGGAGTATGGTGCCCCGGGTATACTGGATAAATTGCCCGATTTTGCGCATGGTTTTGCCAAACCAAAGTAGAAAGTGGAAAAACTAGTTTGGCCGTGGAATTAATTGATTTGTTTTGGGTTGCAAATTTGATCAATTAAGTTAATTTATCTACTGGTGTTTGTTGTTATCTGATTCGGCCAAGTGAGTTATATTTTCATCAATCAGATTCAGATTGTTGTTAGCGGTTGCGCTAATTAGTGCCTTGTTGTGTTCCTGGTTTATAAAGAATTGGGTGTGGATTGAGTCAGTACTTATTTTGTGATTGAGTTTGCGTGGGGATGTGTTTTGGTTGGTTTTTTTCTTTCTGTTGATTGAGATGCCTCCGAGACAGAAGTCGTGCTGTCACGAAGAATTTATTCAATTTGTGCAGCGAATCAAGCCAGAGAAGCAAAGTGTACGACAAAGGCTATACAAGTTTGGCCTCCAAAATAGTCGTCCATTGCCTCATCGAAAGAAGAGCTCGCTCAAGCGGGAAGCTTTATACTGTCGCAAACAATATAATGTTGATAAACAGCCACCACGATGCCACCAACTACCAAGATTTAGAGATCGACCGATGCGTCAAGAGTATACTTCATGTGAGACGCAACACCACCGGAGGTCTAGGGCTAATCAAAATAGCCAACAACGCAAGCCTATGTGCAAGACTGCATCGCAACAGCTCCCCCACCACAGCTATTCTATCCGTGACAAGAAGCAAAAGCAGCTGTTACAACGCCTAGTTCAAGTACAAGATGAGATTGTCCTTCACTTCCGGCAACAATTGAGAGATGAAATGAAGGCCTTTAGGATGAAATCGGAACGATTACTTGATGAGCGTGTCTTGACTTGGAATGATCAAGGGTTGGAATTTGATTTTGGTCACCATCTTTTCGCTCTTGAATCAGATTATGACCCATGGGAGCGTACTATTGACTGGGACAGTCTTCATGTGTTCGATAACTACGCTGATGACGAAGTGAACAACTACACTGATGACGAAGTGAACACTTGCGACATCATCCACATTCCGCACCCGTTGGCTGCAAATGAGGACATCGTTGTTGCTCTAGTTTCCTTTGATGTAGTTTTGGGAACTGCAGTTGCGGAGGAATTATGCCTTCCACCACTTGTTATTTCTTCTCCCTATGGAGTGAATGAAAGATTTGTTGTTCCTAGCCATTATTATTCTTCTGTTTCTCCTGTTCATATATTTCGTGTTGTGCCGCGTTGCAGAAGACTTTGTTTTTCCCTGACACCATTCGGTGATCCTGCTACTTCTCAATATGGTGATTTTTCTCGTGTACATTCGGTAGAGATGGAGATCTGGGACATCCTTTTAATTTCTTTTAGTGGATACCTTTTGCACCCATGTCCTTGTCAACGACAACTTTCAGCTGACTTTCCTTTTGATCGTTGCAAACTAACTCAACTTAAACTCGAGGACGAGTTTTTCTAACCCCGGGAGAATGATAGAGGCGTAACGAATAAAATTAATTAGGGCTTATTTTATGGTTATTTTGGTCATTTTATATTATATTGGTTAGGGTTTCATTTTGTTATTTCTATGTAAATGGCATAGCAGCCGTTAATGTAACTTAGTTGTTGATGAATTTATATATAAAAAAAGAGAGGTTCTCTCGAAAATCTCAATGTGTGTTGAACTTTGGTCCTTATTTCCGGGTATTCTTAGAGTCAACGGATCTAAGAAGGTTAATTGTTAGGCATTCGTGCCTCGAATCAAATGGCCTTTAACAATTACGATTTCTAGGGTTAAGATTGGAGGCTTTCGGCTGCATCACTTCTGCCCTTCTTCCTTGTGCTTGGCTGAATGGTGGCACAATTCCTCTTTGCAAAGCAGCACTAGAATGACACCAAATCGGCTTTCTTTGAGAAGTGGCTAGATTTGTGGAACGGGATGAAAAACACATTGTTTAGTGGTTGATCCTACGGCAAGGAGTAGCTAAAGAAGAAGTTATAAACAATATTGATCTTTTATCCCCTTTCAAAATTCGGGACAAGGTTAAGCTTCAGAGTCGAAGTTGTCATGGAACTAGAGGCTTAACTGGGAAATGCTGAAAGTTGTGTGGCAGGTTTAAACAGACAAATATTTGGGATGCATATAGGATGGTTCAGATAATTATATACAGTTATATTCCTGAATTAGTTATAATTCTAGCTACCTTTTGAGTTTGTTGAATTTGAAGCTGTATTTTTTTTTTTATAACAGAATCATCGAATATAAATGTTACAGTATTTGTGTTAGTATATTTGTTTTTAGCTGCGGAATAGTCCTATATAATAAGGATTATTGTAACTACGGGAATTTATGAATGACAATGCAAATACTTTTTTTCTATCAATTCAACCCCTCATTTTGAAATTCCCTGAGTTACCTGACATATTGTCGGGTCAGCCAACACAAAGTTGCCTCTAATACAATGTCAAAGCGAATTGAGCTCTTATCTCAAATCAATCAGCAACGAATTGTTAGCAAAAGAACCCTTTGGGTTATAAGAAATACACCTTTTAGGTGATGGGTGAATGAAGTGGAAATGGAAGAGAAGGAAATTTTGGGAGAAAGAGAACTTTACTACTTTGTAGTAGAAGGAAACAAAGTGGAGTGTGTTGAGCTTTTAGCTTAATGTTTCTTACAACTTCTCTACACACCTTACATAAGGGGGTTAACTCCTATTTATTGGAGTTTTAACTCCTATTTATAGGAGTTCATGGAAGATTCTACATACTTTCAAAATTTTTCTCATACACATAATATCTGGAAATTTCCTTACTAATATCTAGATATTTCCTCTAGATATTTCTATTGATTATTCTACAATATCTAGATATTTTAGTAGAAGTTTCTACTACTTTCATCATTTCTTTCTAGTCTATTCTTCATATTGGATTTGGGCTAAATTTTAAATAAAAGACTAATGATCTAACTAATTAAATTGGATGACCCAATATAATTTTGGACCAAACCAGTTTATTCACTAACACCCCCCTTTAAACTTGGTTTGGTGACTCCAAGCATTATCCTCAATCTTGTAAAGTCTTCTCCTTTGAGTGGTTTGGTGAAAATATCTACAACTTGATCACGTGATCTTGCATGCTTCAACTCAACGATCCTCTTGGCCACACATTCCCTTATGAAGTGGTACCTTGTATCAATATGCTTGCTTCGATCATTGTAGACTGGATTCTTTGCCGGATTGATGGCTGACTTGTTGTCAACATATATCTCTGTCGCTTCTCCTTGTGGCATACTTAACTCCTTCAACATGCTCCTAAGCCAGATAGCATGACATACACATCATACTGCTGCTACGTACTCGGCCTCACATGATGACAAGGTGACTATAGGTTGTTTCTTAGAAACCCATGTAAAGGCAGTGTTGCCAAGGAAGAATGCGAATCCAATAGTACTTTTCCGTTTGCTCAAATCTCCAGACCAGTCACTATCACTGAATCCCACAAGATTGAAGTCATCACATGAGGAATATAACAAGCCAAGATCATTAGTACCTTTGATGTAGCGAAGTATCCTCTTGGCAGCCTTCAAGTGTGTCGTAGTAGGTGCTTCCATAAATCGACTGATAAGTCCCACAGCAAAGAGGATATCAGGCCTTGTGCATGTTAAATAACGTAGGCTTCCAACAAGGCTCTTGAAGTGAGTTGGATCTACAACTACTCCTTCATCATCGTTTGAGAGCTTTGCTCCATATTCAATGGGGGTGGCTATTGGCTTGCACTTCTCCATGCCAAATTTCTTAAGAACTTCCTTAGCGTATCTTTGTTGAGAGATGAATATTCCATCATCCAATTGCTTGACCTCGATGCCAAGATAATAGGACATAAGTCCTATATCAGTCATCTCAAACTCTTTAGTCATTGCCTTCTTGAAATCTTCGATCATGCTAGGCGAATTTCCTGTGAAGATGAGATCATCCACGTACAAACAAACAAGTAACATATCTCCATTGCCTGAAAACTTCACATAGAGTGCATGCTCACTTGGACATTTCTTGAAACCATTTTCCTGAAAATAGTGATCAATTCTTGTATTCCAGGCTCTTGGTGCTTGTTTCAAACCATATAGAGCCTTCCTTAGCCTGAGAACTTTATTCTCATGGCCTTTGACCACATATCCTTCTGGCTGCTCCACATATATTTCTTCTTCAAGAAAGCCATTTAAGAATACAGACTTTACGTCCATTTGATGGATTTTCCATCTATTTTGGGCAGCGATAGAAATTACTAACCTGATAGTCTCCAAGCGAGCAACAGGAGCAAATACCTCTTCGTAGTCAATGCCACGCCTCTGCTTGTAGCCTTTGGCGACAAGTCTTGCTTTGTACTTCTCAACTTCTCCTTTAGCGTTCTTCTTTGCTTTGAACACCCACTTTACTCCAATTACTTTGTGGCCTTTTGGAAGAGAGGCTAGCTCCCAAGTTTGATTCTTTTCTATGGATCTTATTTCCTCATCCATAGCGTGTCTCCACTTCTCGTTCCTTGCTGCCTCTTCGTAACCTAGAGGTTCACAGTCAACATAAAGGCAGAAGAGTGTGAGAGCCTCTATGCGTTCTGTTTCCTCATAGATCTCTTGTAGGCTTCTCGTCCTTTGTGACTCTTCATTCAAAGGTGAACGTGGACTTTGAGGTCGCTGAGTATTTTCACCCGCATCACTAGTTTCATCATCGTATTCGTGGATGACAGGAAGGAAGTCGTAGGTTTTACCACCTTCAATATTCCCATCCCAGGTTCCTTCTTCATCAAACTCTACATCTCTACTCACAATAATTTTGTTCATGACTGGATTGTAGAGCTTATAGCCTTTTGACTGTTTGTCGTAGCCAACAAAGACATGCTTCTCGCTTCGATCATCAAGTTTGGACCGCTTTTGGCTTAGTACGTGGGCATATGCTATACTCCCAAACGCTCGTAGGTGATTTACTGTGGGCTTTGTCCCATTCCATGCTTCTTGTGGAGTCTTGTCTTCTAGACTCTTCGTTGGACATCGATTTAGTAGGTATACTGCACAATCAACTGCTTCAGCCCATAACTCCTTTGGCATCTTCTTGCTTTTTAGCATGCTACGAACCATATTGAGAATGGTTCTATTCTTCCTTTTTGCAACTCCATTTTGTTGCGGAGAGTATGGAACGGTAAGGAATCATCTAATCCCATGTTCTTCATAGAATTTGGTGAATTCACTTGATGTGAATTCTCCACCTCTATCAGACTTTAAGGCTTTGATTTTCAAGCCTTTCTCCTTCTCCACCACAGCCTTAAATGTCTTAAAGGCATCAAAGGCTTGTGATTTCTCCTTCAAAAAATACACCCAAGTTTTTCGAGAGAAATCATCAATAAATAGAATGAAGTAGGTGTTCTTACCATGGGATGGCAGAGAGATAGGACCACACAAAGTCTGTACGGATGAGTTCTAAAGGCTCCTTAGCTCTTGATGTTGCTTCTTTTGGGAAAACACTCCTTGAATGCTTCTCAAGTAAGCATCCTTCACATACTTGATTGAGCTGATTGATAGGAGGTATTCCTTTCACCATGCATTTGGCAGATAACATTTTCAAGTCACCAAAATTTAAATGACCATACCTCATGTGCCAAATCCACGAATCATCCTTCAAGCATGCTTTCATGCAGTTCTCATGTTGAATGTTCAACAAGAACATTCTATTGCTTGTCATTGGCACAATGGTAATCAATTTTCCTTCTGGATCCTTAACTATGGCACTACGATCTTTCAAATGAATATCGTAATTTTTCTCCAGAAGTTGTCCCAAGCTCAAGATATTACTCTTAAGACTTGGAACATAATAAACTTCTGAGATGTATTGGTGACTTCCATCTTTAGCAAGGATTAGTATCTTACCTTTGCCTTCAACCCTTGCTCTAGAATCATCTCCAAACATCACGTACCCTTTGGCTGGTTCCATGTCTACGAACAACCTTTTTTCCCCAGTCATGTGATTACTCGCAGCGGAGTCAAGATACCATGTCTTCTTCTCTCCTTCGTCCTTGTGTCTTGCCATTAAGAGAGTGAGTTGAACTTCATCTTTAACCTCCATAAGATTGGCTTTCTTTTTTACTTGACTAGAATTCCTACACTCACTTGCATAGTGACCATATTCTTGGCAATTAAAGTATTAGATTCGAGATTTACCTCCTTTCTGAAATTTCATACCTCTTCCATGACCTCTTGTAGATTGAGAACCTTTGTTATTGTCATCCTTGGTGGATTGAACGTAGCCACCTCGAGCCCTTCCTCGTCCACGTCCTTGAAATCCACCATTGCCTCGTCCAAGGCCTCTGCCACGTCCAAAGCCTCCATCTCTTTCTTTGAAAGAGAGTTTTGTGTAGAGAGCTTGCTCCAAAGATTCTTTGGGCCTTCTCTTCTTTAGTTTCTCTTCATGGGCTACTAAAGTACCCATGAGTTGATCAATGGTCATAGAGTCAAGATCTTTTGACTCTTCTATCGCTACCACAATATAATCAAAGCTTGGTGTCAAAGAGCGAAGAATTTTTTCTTATCACTCTTGTGTCACTCAAGCTTTCTCCATTCCTCTTCATCTCATTTGACACTTTCAAGACAGGAGAACAATAATCTGAAACAGATTCGGACTCCTCCATTTGTAAACCTTCAAATTCTCCTCTAAGTGTTTGAAGACGTACCTTTTTTCACCTTCTCAATGCCTCTATTAGCATTTTCTAGAATATCCCTAGCCTCCTTTGATGTAGAAGCATTTGCCACCTTCTCGAACATGGAATCATCTAGACATTGATGGATAAGTGAAAGAGCTTGTTGATCCTTTCTCCTTACTTTGTTGAGTTCTCCCTTTTGGGCAGGAGTCAAAGAAGCCTCATCTAGAGGTTTCTCATAACATTTCTCAACAATCTCCCAAACCTCATGAGAGCCTAAGATCGCCTTCATTCGAATGGACCACTTACCATAGTTGTCTTTGGTAAGTTGAGGGAATTGGAAATAGATCATTCCATTTGCCATCTTACTTCAAAGCTGGACTAACACCAGCTCTGATACCAGTTTGTTAGCAAAAGAACCCTTTGGGTTATAAGAAATACACCTTTTAGGTGATGGGTGAATGAAGTAGAAATGGAAGAGAAGGAAATTTTGGGAGAAAGGGAACTTTACTACTTTGTAGTAGAAGGAAACAAAGTGGAGTGTGTTGAGCTTTTAGCTTAATGTTTCTTACAACTTCTCTACACACCTTACATAAGGGGGTTAACTCCTATTTATAGGAGTTCATGGAAGATTCTACATACTTTCAAAATTTTTCTGTTACACGTAATATCTAAAAATTTCCTTACTAATATCTAGATATTTCCTCTAGATATTTCTATCGATTATTCTACAATATCTAGATATTTTAGTAGAAGTTTCTACTACTTTCATCATCTCTTTCTAGTCTATTCTTCATATTGGATTTGGGCTCAATTTTAAACAAAAGACTAATGATCTAACTAATTAAATTGGATGACCCAATTTAATTTTGGACCAAACCAGTTTATTCACTAACACGAATAAGGTGACGAATGAAACTTATATATTGGTCTCAGATTCTTCAGAAGGCCAGTGCGAGATTTTTTATCCCAATAATTTTCCATACAATTAGTATGTGTTTTCCGTAGGATTGGCAACAACATTGGGCGTTGATGATTGTGGGGTGTTTTTCAGAAAGCTAACCATATAAAATGATGTATACAACAATACAATTAATGTGTATCAGCATTCACCTTTTTCGGGGAGCTATCTAGGTTTAGGTGAATCTCATCTTAGTTTTATTTGTTTTTTTTGGAAAACAAAAACAGCATGATCGTTAAGAACTAAGCAAGAAGAGCATTAGAATTAGTATATAGCTTCTCCATCAAAATATTGCAGAAGGTCATCGGTAGTTTACTTGCTTGATGACTCAAGAATGTATAAAGGGAAGACAATAAGAATGAGAGAAGTTAATTCCCCACAATGAATGAGTCAACTATGTTGTCGTAACCAGATATATTCTCTCTCTGCTTCCTTCTCTGATGAGCAGCAGCAGCGATACCGACTGTTGCAATTACTAACAATGCCATACCCGATATACGAGGGGGCGTCAACATCTTTGCTTGCAACTGCAGGAACCAAAGCATTCCGGAAAATTAGTACTCAAATATGGATTGATTTAAGCAGCCTTCCTGAAATCCATTCAAAAGTATAGGCCCTCTTTCTGAATGACTCAGTTTAATACTAGTACTCCATCCGTTCCAAATTTCTTGTCCAGTTTAAATTTTTACTTTTAGATAATTTGTACTAAATAAAAACCCAAACTGGATAATAATTTTAGGAGAAAGGGAGTACTTCATTAGTAGAAGTTTACCCGCACAAGTTGAACCTGTGAAGAAATATTTACTGTAGATGAGGAGTTGAAGTCTGCGACCAGAATATAAAAGAGCCCCATCACTCCTGTATGGCCTTGGGCACTATTGTAATTCGATACCACAGTCAAAGTTTCCCGATCAGATATCTTGACAGATCCCGGTGGAGGATAACAGGTAGACATTCCCACAATGTAACCAGCCTCATTTCCAGGTTCTGTCCCTTGTCCGTAAATTGGAGATGATGAACACAGAACTCTTCCATCCTGATAAACCAAAAGCATTAAACAACGAAATTAAAAAAAATCCTTTTAAGACGTCTTTCCTTAAGACTGAGTTGGCGGCATTCAGGTGCTGATGCTACATGATGATGTTTAAATTTTAATCAAACTGAACAGGAGCAATAAAAATCCCCCATACGAGGACAAAATTAAAGGGAAACAGAAGGCGATGAAACCTCATTGTTATATGTTTTCGGTATTGGTTTAGTGAGGCAATTAATATCAATATATAAGTTTAATGGGTTATTCATTTTCTTACTAATTAGTTTTGAGGTGGAACACAATATACTTTTATATATATGGTACTAGTGTGGGTTCGGCCTATGGTGAATTTTGGTTCACGATATTATTCCACGGTTATGTTTTAACCCATCAGTGTATCTAATGATTTAATGACCAAGCTCAACTACAGTGATGAAATCCCTTGTTATATGTTGTCCCACATAGTTCAAACCCATTCATCACATGTTATAAGTTGTCTCACATTAGTATGGTGAAACACTCTGTGTCAATATTTAATAAATCTAATGTATGAATAATGATCGAAGCAAGAGAATTTATTACCTGTCCATAAAGAGCTGAACCAATTCCTCCAGTATGCTGGTGTGCAACACCATAGACCATGACACCGCCAGTGGGCAAAATGATACTTACACTCTTTGTATCAATGCAACTGCTGTTCTCGTCAGCATGAGCGCAAGACTCAACGTTATACTCGATCTGTTTCATGACAGAATACATGTGTGTATTAGATCCTAAAGGATTTATTGAGCTGATTTTGTGTAAGAATTCGGTTTCACAGATTTGTATTAAGAAATGGTCCAGTATATATAGTTTCATGAACCTATCAAATAGCTAGTTCCTCAAGTGAACCGTTTGTAACTACTGAAGAATGAGTAGTGCAGCATATCTAAAATGGCTACTAATCAATAGTAATAAAAAGAACATATATTCCGATGTTTTTAAATATGCCCTGTATAAGTCATGAAATGATTGTGTCCAATTTTAATTTTTTATTTTTAGTTTTTAATTCTAATAAAAGTGAAAAATTCCAAACAGAAAGAATATATATTCTAATGTTTTTAAGAATTCCCTATAAGTCATGAAACGATTGCGTCCTATTTGAATTTTTTGTTTTTAGTTCAATTTATATTAAAAACCGAACAATCAATTTGAGACAGAAGGAGTATATGATTTTGGCGTCCTAGCTATAAGTTCAGCATCTCTCTTTACTTGAGGAGTACACAACCATGTGAAAATTGAAACACTTCAGGAGTATACAAAGGGGCAAAAACATCTTCCTACATCTGTCAGAGCAAATCTATTTTATATTTATATATATATATATATATATATATATATATATGCAGACATTCACCACTCTCTTCTAGGTACAGTTATACACGGAAGAAAAGAAACCGTGAAACTTACCCGGCAGTCATGTCTTGATGAATTACTTCCCGTTGAATCATCATCATCAACAGATTTTCTCCATTCATCCGTAACATCAAAGATATAGACCCGGACAGGCACAATGGAACTGTGCCAATCAACATAAGTCACAATGTACTTCATGAAAAGGCCTCTTTTCGCACCTTGGAAACCTTCTTTCACCCTGCATCTGGTATTATCGTAACAGCATCTCAAGCCCCCAGCATAATTTGGGTCCAAAACACTGCCCGTTTCATCCATTGTAACATTGTACAGATCGCACCTGCACTCTGTACATCCTAACTCATCGTGCGCGCCTCGTGTATCGATCGCGTGCACATTGAGAATCCATCTCTCCTCATAGCCAGAAGGTATCTTGGCCGGATTACCGAATTCCATGCCATATGGATCTGGAACATAAGTGTTTGTTTTCCGTGTCTCGGATCCTAGCCCGAAAAACTGTGGAAGCGCGTTAGAACACAAGCCATCGTTCCCGCCGGCTTTAGTATCTGGCTTGTCAGTGCCGCCTTGGCGTTGATAGTAGTTCACAACAAGCCAGTGATGAAGGTAAGTTTCGTGAAGCGGAACACTGTTTCCTGCCTCGTCGATTACTTCAGCATCGAAACTCTTGACAGCTATGTGGCCTTTTGGAAAGCCAATATCATAGTAAAATTTATTGCATACCGATCCGGGTTCCAGCTCAAATCTAGGTGATAGATACACAGCCTTTTTCACCCCATTTTCCTCCATTTCATCCGCCACTGAACTTTGGCAAGTTCCCACCGAGAGCATAATAATTGCCAGAAAAGTCAACCAGCCCTTTAAACCATTCGGCATCGTTAGAAAAGAATCTTGGGAAAAAAAAATAAATACAAGAAACCTTTATGAATAGGAAATTCAAAGCACTAAAAAAGATGAACAAAAGAATCGAGATGTTTTTCTCTACTGTTGTAGACTGACTCTATTCAGTGCTTCAAAGTGTTCTGCTTTAATTGACCGCTGAAAATGGATTTCAGGGGTTCGGCATAAGAAGATGCAGAAAAAAAGAGAAATAGTGTATTAAAAAACATCCCTTAACCAAGAATGATAAGATAGCTTACCGGAATTGACAGGTCTGAAAATATAGAAAACTGCGCCATGCTGAGTCGCTCCTCAGGTGTGAATATTAAAATGCCCATTGCTTTTTGAAGACAAGAAACCAAATACTCCCTCTGTTCCATAAATATTGTCCAGTTTGAAATTTCACTTCTAGTATACTTTGAATTATAAATAGAAATCTAAACTGCACGATAATTATAGGACGGAGGGAGTATATAAATAAGTACATATACATTATATCTAGTTGTGTGAGATTTCATGAACTTTATCTCTAATTGTAATGAGACTTAAAAGTTGAAGTTTCGGAATTAATTTAGTAAATATTTTGGGAAAAACTTGAACCATATGTATTCGATTTTGGGCACATAATACAAAATAGATATTTTAGTTTCTTTTTTTTTTATATATATAAATGAAGTACAGATTTCGGGCGCATTACTCGTGATTAGTTTCTCTCAAATCCGCGTGACATTTCAGCGTAACGTGGCAATAATCATGTCAAAAAGAAACCACTTACAGTATTTGAGATTCTACACTCAATCAAGTCAGACCATTATCTTCCCATCTCAACAAATCTGAGTTTCGTTTGTTTTTTGTACAGGAAATAAAATTCCCATTTTAGCGCTGAATTAATAAATGATAAACACGCGTTCGATATGTTGTTTTTTTCTGAGTATTGCATAATTACTTGTTGCAGAGGAAACTACATAATTGGTGAATCCTTGAGAAAGAGTTAATTAGGATGGTTACTACTTCTTTTTTTTTAAAAAATAAAATAGTACTGGAAATCGTCTAGCTGCGATTGAATATAGTTAATTAGGATGGTTACTACTTTTTTTAAAAAAAATAAAATAGTACTGGAAAGTGTTCAGCTGCGATTGAATAATACAAAGAAACAGTCAAATACAACTTACAACATATCACTTTATTTTACCATAGATAAACCTATACAGATTTACCCATATGATTGACGGACATATCACGTACCAGAGTATAAATCTGATCTCGAATATATCTCTAAAATTCTGCTGAAAACTCCAAACCACAAATTTAAAAATTAAATCTGCGGTAACTGATTGTTCCTGGGACACATGTAATATTGCGAACATTTTCAACACCACTACAAACACTGCAATCAACGGATCTACCTCTCAGTTGAGTAATCCACTGATAGAATACTGCAAACTAAAAAAATCCTACCCTCTTACTAAAACTCGAAAGACAGAGAATAGAAACGAGAAACGAAACACGATTAATTCCCCCGTCCTTTCACGATGAGAAGATGGGGGAAAATTTATTTTTTAGAGTTGGGGTTTGAGAGAAAAGAGAGAGGTGGCGGCTACTGGGGTTTAATGGGTGATAGGATGGTTACTACTTAGAGTGTGGCAATTTCTTAAATTTTCATTCAAATGTATGTATTTGGATCTTGCTCTTTCTGTTGCAAAGCAAATTTATTTTATTGAAGTAAATCAGTATAATTAGTGGATTATTCTTTTCCTATTTGGTTGGGGACAGAGTAACTTTTACCTCCCCCTTAAGACCATTAACCTTGAAAACACACACCCACGTGAAAACTTACATAAAATATTGTCATTTTTGTACGTTGACTAAATTCAGTTCATATAAGGGGGGACTCAACATACGTTGTCATTATTTTCAGTATACTCTCTATGTTCTTCGATCAATTCGATCTGCGCTGGACACATGCATGGTACCAGTGCATCCAGATTAATTAAACCCAATCATCTGCAAATATATCTTTTGGGCGATTTGATTCTCGCAAATCCACATGACATCGTTACACAAGAGTAACATCCATGTGAGTCAAACATGGATTGAAGATGTTGGGGGAGAGTTTTTAATTACTTGAAAAATAAAGATTTGCCCCAATGTTTTTGCCAGATCGGATCTAAAAGATGGTAATGATCAAGAAAATAGCGGAAGCCATGCATATAACTAGAGTTTACAAATGACGGTTGTCATATTCTAATTAATTAATCTGTAAAGTACTTCCGCTGTCTACAAAAAAAAAATCATATTGTATTTTTTGAAAAGTTTTGTACTGTGAATTTTTTTTTCCCGAGAGAGTTAGTACTATACAATGAGATGAGTATATATAGATATATACTTATACGTAGAATAATTGCAGGAGTTGACTAGTCTAGAAGCTTATACAAGTGAGCGTGAATTTACATACGTGATCCTAATTCCTAACTAAGCAACTGTAAACTAATTGTACAAAACTGAACTGTCTAACCATATGTACAGACTATATATCAAAGTAAAAGCCACGTTTTCATGATCATAATTCTTCAGGTTCGCTCATTTCGATTAACTAAATAAATGTGTTATCATACATAGTGTCCGAAGTGACACAACTTGTCGAATGTACAAAAAGCAGACGAAAACTGCAAAGTATTCGGATAGAATGGGTGGGAGGTGGACCAGGGTGTTGAGACTGAGGAAGAATATAATATGCAAAGAACATGCAAGACACGATATTCTTAATTACCTTCGCATCTTCTTTTCATTATATATTTTACTCTTTCAATGAGTATCTTGTTTCTCCTTTACCAGTAGACAAAGTTACCAACAGTTTTTAAGTGTGGCTTTGAGAATTTGCATCCTACAACCTCACGCACTAATAGCTATGGCCACTGCCGGAAACAAAAACCATGAAGATGCCGTCACCGTGTTGATGGTTCCTTTTCCGACGCAGGGGCATCTGAACCAGCTTCTCCATCTTGGCCGCTTAATCTCATCTTATAACATTCCGGTCCATTACGTCAGCACTCCGGCTCACACCCGCAAGGCAAAGCTTCGTATCCATGGCGGCGGGAATATTCCTGACCTTCACTTTCACGGATTCCCTGTCCCTCCCTATGAAACGCCTCCTCCAGATCCAACTTCCTCAACTAAAGTCCCCAGGCATCAGATGCCGGCCATTCTTTCATCAGTTCACCTCCGGGACCCGGTTTTCCAACTCATGAAAAAATTGTCCGGAACAACAAAAAGGTTGGTAATCATTCATGATGCCTTGGTATCGTACGTTATCCAAGACATTGTTTCTGTCCCTAACGCCGAATCCTACGCCTTCTCCGCATCCTCTGCTTTCTTTAGTTACTTGACTCTCTGGGACTTTAGAGGGAAACCCCAAGGAGTGCCTGAACACCAGCTCCTCCAACTTCTGCCAAAGCTTGACCTCCCACAAGAATATTCCGAATATATGCTGTTAAACCTCACTACAAAAATAAACAGTTCTGGAACCCTTATCGATTCCTGCACAGCAATAGAAGGTCCGTTTCTCGATTACCGTACTATGTTCAAGAGCTTCGGCTCCGACAAGGTCTGGGCAGTTGGTCCATTAAATCCTGTTCATCATCATTGTGTACCGGTAAAGAAAGATGAAGTCGATCAAGGGCAGCGGAGACATTACTGTCTTGATTGGCTCGACAAGCAATCTCCCAATTCAGTTTTGTTTGTGTCATTTGGTTCCTCCACTACGCTTTCAGATGAAGAGATCAAAGAGATGGCGTTTGGGTTGGAGAAAAGCGAGCAAAACTTTTTATGGGTGCTTAGGGATGCGGATAAAGGTGATTTGTTTACAGAAGAAGGTGGTGATGATCAGGTTAAAGAAGTAAGGCATGTTCAATGGCCGGAAGGGTTTGAGAATAAAATTAAGGAAGGGAATAGAGGAATTGTTGTGAGGGATTGGGCGCCTCAGCTGGAAATTCTTGCACATTCATCAATTGGCGGATTCTTGAGTCATTGCGGATGGAATTCATGCATTGAAAGCCTTAGTCACGGTGTCCCAATTGCCGCATGGCCGATGCATTCTGACCAGCCGGCAAATGCTGTGTTATTGACAAAGGTGCTAGAAGTTGGTCTGCCGGTCCTGCCGGAATTTTTGTCATCAGATTCTGAAGCTGAAGAAATTCAGGCGACATCAAAAGATATTGAAAATGCTGTGAGAACATTGATGAATTCTGAGGAGGGAGACCAGATGAGGCAAAGGGCACAAGACGTGAGCAAAGCAGTCAAAGCATCTCTGATGGAAAATGGAACTCCATTGGGAGTGGGTACTTTTGTGGCCCATATTTGCAGATAATAGTTTCTATATCTTATAATTTTGCAAATGACTAGGTTACCCTTTTCCACAACCAATTAGTTATAATTACTACTATTTTACTTTCTTTTTCCAACATAAATTTCAGTACCTCAATTAGTTCTATTTCCTGTTTGATTCTAATCCGCCATAATTCTTTATGAATATCTGATCTTCCATAATTCTTTGCGAACTATTCTTTCTGTATGATTCATACTATTTGCGAACAACCAATCATTATGAACAATTATGCAAACTTAGACTTTTAAACAACCAGATTCCAAGCTCGGTTACAACATCACAAAGTGCTAACATACTGATCATATGATTGCAAGCTCGGTCGGTTTCCTAAAGCATAAACGCACCATATATGCTCACCTTTTTAGCATGGAAAATCAACAAGCACACACTGTAAATCATATGTACGTGTAGATTGTAATGTTTTTCTCCCACCCCTTTTTGAAATTTGGCCACACAAAAAAAAAGAAAGAAAGAAAAATGCAAGCTTGCATGCTTTGCCAACTAAGGACCATCTTCATTATTATGCTCTCTCCTTTTTTTTTTTTTTAAATTAACTTAATAGAATATATATCTAATTCATGTCATCTGATCATCCGATTTTGCAAAATTTGTGCCTGGTAAAGTGAACAACGTAAATTTTATATCCGTACGTAGATAACTTGGCTCTTGTAGTCTCATGGCTCAAAATTTTCCCAGTGAAAGAATGGTCCATAAGAGAAAGTATGATTGGAAGAGCAAAGTAAACCCCTTAGAAAGAAACAAAATAATCAAATGGAAACTTCACTGTAAAACATTAGTTTGAAAAGACAAATTATTTATTAAAAGGACGAAAAAATTGCAACACCCTTGGTAATAATTTTGATATTTGGTTTTTTAAAGATGTTCCCAAAAGCAATTAGGTCAAACATGAATCAGTAAACCATAAAAGCCGTGCCAAAACAGATTGACCAACCAAACCGAGCTTAATTATAATTAATTAGATTAGATCAAATATTATTAGGTCAAAGCTTCTTTTGTGTAATGATGTCAGATCATGTGGGCCTGAGAGCGTTAAAATCGCCCCAAAAAATGGGGATGCAAACTATAGTACTGCTGCGATTAATTTGTTAATGAAGCAGAAAATTAATTACAAGAGATTGAGTTGATTTAGTTGGCATCGACTGATTCCATTGCACATGCCCATCGCAAAACGATCCATTTTGACTTTTCACTTGATCGATTGAAGAACAGAGAGTAATGAGTAAATGACCCCAAAGCCATCTAGTGTCATGGAATTGTCAATAGTAGAGGACTCAATTATATTAAATTAATAGACTAGGGTGTGATATGTAATTATGTGAACTACCAGACTATATATAAATAAATTTACTTGATTACCCAAGTTACTCGATTGAAGAAATAAATTTTGAAGGCGGGCTAAATCATGCTTGCAATGGTTCTGATGATGAAAATTTCGATATGGAATATGCAATGGAACAAGAATCCTTTTACAATTAAGTTTTTGCTCCAACATATCACAATAATTCGAAAAAAGCCAAGGCTAAAAAGAAATATCAAGTTTGTCAGTCTGCTAGATTGAATAAGGATTCGACTTTACTTTAAGATCAAAATTTTATTTGATATAGGGTTTAGTACATTCGCTGCCCTATTTTTTATTTATTATTATAAAATTGTTTTTTTGTTAAAAAAAAATAGTCTTGGTTTGGGTTAAATTATAATTATGGAATAGTCTAAGTTTGCTTTGATTAATCACAAAGTAGTCGATCCGCAATTCTCCCCAATTCTCTCTGTTCCTTCGAACCCTAATTTTCCAATCCAATCTCCGATTCACGTCGAATTTCCTTTTGTTTTGTTTGAATTGGCCGGAGCATTACATTTGGTATCAGAGCTAGTCGTTCCTTGGCGATTTTCCGATTCCAAATCCCAGTTTTCCGCTCAAATCACTCTGATTCATCATTTCTTCCTCAGAAATTCCATTGAAACCATCCACTTTGAATCCAATATATTCCAGAAAATGACTCGTGCTAGAGCTGCGGTTGACGAATCGATGAAGGATTCGAACAACGATGTGAATTCCTCCAGATTTGAAGGCCTGGAATCACGAACGGTGACCATGGAGTCGCAGTTCACAAATCTGGAATCGAAGCTTAATGCTTTGGTGGTGTCCATGGCAGAACGTGACGCCAGGTTTGACAAGTTGGTGGAGATGTTCGAATGGACGCATTCACGAAACCCAGAAAAGGCGCAGGTGACGGAAAATTCATCTCCGAATTCTCCAGCACCATACAACCACCGTCTGCACGAGGAGCTGAGAATCATCGCACGATGTTCACGGCTGTGGTGGAGAAAGGAAATGGCCGTCCACTATCAACCCGGTGCGCGTGGACCAGGACGTTCCACCACTCACTGGCCTCTCAAACAGAAACAGCCATCCGCCGGATTTCAGCACTTCCGACGGCTCTCAAGGTGACCACGTTTAGGGACAACAGAATTACCGGTGGTACCAGGAACCCCGGTTGGATTTACCACTATTTACCGACGACAATCCCCAAACCTGGCTCCGCAAGTGTCGTAAGTACTTCCAGATGCACAACATTCCAGATGAAAATGGTCGATTCTGTGGAGCTGTTCCTAGATGGTAAGGCCATCCAGGGAGTGAAACACGCTTATGGTAAGCCCGTTTGGACTGAGTTTTCATAATTATTGATTAAACGCTTTGGTAGCTGTAATTGTAAAGATTTTGCTGAAGACTTTAGACTGGTAGTGTAATTGAATACCATGAAAGGTTTGAGGAGCTCCGTTCCAGATTGTTGCTATTAGGCTATCAGTTTGATGATAATTACTATGTGTCCTGTTTTATTAGTGGGTTAAAGGCTGAATTGAAACCTGTTGTAAGGATGTGGCGACCTAAAAACATAGCCACAGCTTTTGAAATTGCACTGTAACAGGAACATGCTCTAATTTTCAGTGGTAATGGGAATTGGCAAGATTCTGGACAGGTGAATTCCCCTGTTAGTTCACCAGGCAGTGTGAAGAGTAGTTACGACTTATCTATGGAGTCTGGTGACAAAGTGCTAAATGGTAGTAATTTGGTAGATAAACTGGTTAATGGTAGGGAGACAGAGAAAATGTCTCAGGAAATGGGAACGGGAAAGGAGCTAAGTTCAGTGAGTATAAGGGGCCTGGTAATAGGTACCTTAAGAAAATGTCCCCTCAGGAGTTTCAGTACCGCGCCTACAATCATTTGTGCTAAAGGTGCGGTGAACACTTCAAGCCAGGACATGTTTGCAAGTTTGGGCAGGTAAACATGATACTCTGCGAAGAAACGGCAAAAGCAAATGTTCCTGAAAATGTGCTGTGGACCATTGATAGCGAAATGGTTGACCTGAGTAATCTGCCTCATGGTGTTTGATATTTCAAGTGGGCAGATTTCAAGGTTCAGGATGCTGCTGTTCAAGTTTGCTGAAATTGTGATTTTTGATTCTGTTTTTCAATGGCTAATAGTTCTTTATGTGAAGAGTTTTGTTATTTAGTTTTGTTTCAATTGCCATATATTTTGAAGTAGTAGCTGCTTAGTAGTAAGGTTTATGCCAGATATACTTACCAGTTTTGAGTTGTAATCTCGTAAAGACAGTGTTGGGGACACATTGTTTTTAGTGGGGAGTTTCTCATGGAATTGTCAATAGTAGAGGATTCAATTATATTAAATTAATAGACTAGGGTCTGATATGTAATTATGCGAACAACCAGACTATATATAGTCTTGGTTTGGGTTAAATTATAATTATGGAATAGTCTAAGTTTGGTTTGGTTAATCAGAAAGTATAGACTAGGGACTGATATGTAATTATGCGAACTACCAGACTATATATAGTCTTGGTTTGGGTTGAATTATAATTATGGAATAGTCTAAGTTTGGTTTGGTTAATCAGAAAGTAATCGATCACCAATTCTCTCTGTTCCTTTGAACCCTAATTTCCAATCCAATCTCCGATTCACGTCATTTTCCTTTTGTTTTGGTCTTGAATTGGCCAGCATATCATCTATCTATATATATAATTGACAAACCAATAATAGCTAAGAAAATCCAGTAGTTAATGTTGTACTAGCCCATCATGCTGATTGGCTAGCTGGAAAGCCGATGTTATATATGTTCGTTGGATTGACGTCAGATTGGCTAGCTGGAAAACCCATGTTATATATGCCTAAACAAGTGCATGGAAGATCTCCATCCATATTTTCAGGCAAGTCCATCAATCAGCTGACATTCCCATGTTGATTCATTGTAATGAATGACATGGTTAAGTTGATCCAAATACTCTCACGCGGTGTGCAATCAATCAAAAATCGTGTTCGTGTATATTATCAGCTATTCACTCTATCTCAAAAAAATAGTGTACATTGTGATAGAATATGGAAATAATCGAAACCCTAATTAGGGTTTTCTATGTAGACGACTAGGGTTGTTACACTATTGTACTATAAATACCACAATGTATCATGTGAATAATACACACAATAATTCTTTCATGGTATCATCCTTCTTTCCTGGCCTCTCAAAAATTTCTTAGGGTTTTCACCGTACGTACCGCTGCTCCTTCTTCGTTTTTGGTTTTGGCAAACCAAAATTCCGGCGGCCTTGATAGCATATTTCGTCTGCCGTTCTTCACCGAATCTAAATCCAACCATTCTGTCCTTTCTGCTCTATAGCATAGTTCAAACCTTTTTGTCTTATTCTCCTTGATTCTTCAAACCCTCAAGTTTTGTGCGGCTGCTCCTTCCTCCTCTCTGCCATTCTTCCTACTTTGCCAACTGCCGCCGACTGCCATTCTTTATCAAAACCAACTGCTCCTTCATAATTTGCCATTCTTCATCGAAGAAGCTTCGTTGCCGATTGCCGTTGCTACTTCTTCTTTCGGCTTCCTTCAAAAACTCAAAACTTAGCTCTCTGTTTGTCGTGTCTCTGTTTTTGTTCATAAACCTAGCCCCCGTTTTCGGTTTTGGTGATTGTTTTTTGATCCCCATTCGGTTCGGTGTCCCTTTAATCTTCTTCTTCATAGCTTTAGTTCGGTGTTCTTCTTCGGTTTTGCCTCCCTGCCGCCATGACGAACTCTGCCGTGACCTCTGTTGTCTCACAGCAAACTGATCTTCAATCAACCGAGGCCATGACAACCAATTCTTTTTCGGCACTACCTTCTCATCCGGCTATTGGTCTCTCTAACATCAAGAATTATGTGACTCCCGTTCTGGATTTCACAAACTACATGCTATGGAAAGAGCTTTTTCTTCCTGTCTTTCGCGGACATGCCGTGATTGGTCATATCGATGGCTCCGATCCTTTTCCTCCATCAACTCTCGCTGCCTCTGACGGCACTTCCTCATCCAATCCAAATCCCACTTTTCTAACTTGGACCCAAATTGACTCCATTGTCCTCTCCTGGATCCAAGCCACTGTTTCTACCAAAATTTTGCAAGCCATAGTTCGGCCCAATTCTTCCCTTACTGCCCGCGATGCGTGGCTCACCATTGAGAAACTCTTCCACGATCAGCTTGGTTCCCGCCTTCTCCAATTGAAATTGGAGTTTCATAGCTTAAAGAAAGGGGAATTAACCATTAATGAGTATGTTACCAAGCTTAAGATGTTGGCCGATTCATTAACAGCCGTCGGTTCTCCCATCTCCGACGATGACTTGGTGCTTCAAATTCTGGCTGGTCTTCCTTCGACCTACCAGTCTGCCTCTACTACATTAGCCATCGCGTTCCTTTACCCAACTTCATTGAAGCTCGATCAATGCTCTTCCTGCATGAAGTGCAACTTTAGCACATTGCTCCTTCTCCGTCTCCACGGCTACCAACGCTGTGGTCGCTATCTTCCACTGACCTTCCACAGCAGCAGTCAAATACCCCTTCTCAACAGCAGCCATCTTCCAATCGTGGCCGTGGCAGGGGTCGCAGTTTTCAGAATAATTGGGGACGTGGCTGTGGCCGTGGACGCAACCAATTTTTTGGTCAGTATCCCTCCTCATTTTCTGCACCTTTTAATTCTTATACAGCTCCTATGTTTACTCCCAGACAACATGCTCCCTCTCTTCTTGGTCTGGCTCCCTCTTTTTAGTCCAATCCCGCTACTATTCGTTGCCAATTGTGCAATCAATTCAATCACTCTGCTCGAGATTGGTATCAATTTCAACAGCCCGCTTACTTTGTGGGTCACAATAATCGGCTTTCTATTCCCCCATCTGCTGATTCGTCCTGGTATATGGACACTGCTTGTGGTAACACTATGACTCCTTCTCAAGGTACTCTCACTAATTCAAAACCTTAGACTGGTTCTACTCGAGTCATTATTGGTAATGGTCATTCTTTACCTATTCAATCCGTTGGTCAACTCTCTTGTTCTCAGTTCCGTGTCCCTAATGTTTACCATGTTCCTTCACTTACAAAAAATCTAATCTCTGTGCGTCAATTTTCCACTGAAAATCAATGCTCTGTTGAGTTTGACCTTTTTGGTTTTTCTGTGAAGGATCTTTGGACGAGGACCCCTCGTCTATGTTGGAATAGTACTGGTTCCCTTTTTACATTTCCCCCCTCACTGCTCCATCCATCCCTTGCACCGTCTTCTCCGTCTTGTCCGGTGTTTGCTGCTTCCGTTTCTTCTCAATTATGGCATCAACGCCTTGGTCACCCGAATGCCTCTGTTTTGTCCAGTTTAGTGTCCAGTCGAAGTCTTCCTGGTTCCGTGATCTCTTCAAATAAACTTAGTCTTTGTCAGGCTTGTTAAATTGGGAAGCATCATAAGCTCCCTTTTATGCCTTCTTCTTCGGTTACTTTTAGTGCTTTTGATATTATACATACAGATGTTTGGACCTCTCCGTGTCATTCCTTTAGTGGTTTCAAGTATTTTGTACTCTTTCTTGATGATTTCACTCATTATTTATGGGTGTATCCTCTTAAAAATAAATCCGAGGTTTCTCAAAAGTTTGTTGAATTTTATACTCTCGTTCAAACTCAATTCAATGCTTCCATCGAAACTTTTCAATCTGACGGTGCAGCTGAATATGTTCATTCTCATTATCTTCAATCTTTTCTTAAATCTAAGGGGATCACAATGCGTATCTCTTGTCCGTACACTCCTCAACAAAACGACAAGGCTGAGCGCATGAATAAAACACTAATCAATATGATCCGCACGCTTCTGCATCAAGCTCACTTACCACATGCATTTTGGGTAGAGTCTTTACATACTAGTATCTATCTGTTAAATCGTTTACCTACTAAATCAAAAAATGGGGCCATTCCTTTCTCCCTTCTTTTTGGTCATCCACCTAACTATGGTTCCTTAAGGGTTTTTGGGTGTTCCTATTTTCCCAATCTTTCTCATTTAGCTTCTCATAAGCTCCATCCTCGCTCCGCTCCATGTGTCTTTCTTGGTTATCCTGAATCTTATAAGGGCTATCGTTGTTTTGATCCCGCTTCTAAGAAAGTCTATACTTCCCGTCATGTCGTTTTTTATGAAACCTCTTTTCCATTTCCTCAACTCTCTTCGGTTCCCCAAAACAATCCTCCCCAATCTCCTTTTAAATATCCCTCGTTCCTTATTTCACGATCCCTCCCTTCATCAAAATCCTCTCCATTGGTTGCTTCTCCTTCACAAAAATATGTGTCATTCGTTCCTTTAGTATCTGCACCCACACCTTCCATTTTATTGTCACATACTTCAGATCCTCCTATTCCGAATCCCCCTATTCATCATATGGTCACTAGAACTCGTGATGGTACTCGTAAACCTAAACAGATACTCTCTCTTACTGCCACTACTACATCCTCTTCACTCCCTACTGAACCAAAATCCTTTACTGCAGCGAATAAATACCCTGAATGGAGTGCCGCTATGAATGACGAATTTAATGCTCTCCTCACTAATCATACATGGGATTTAGTCCCTGCCCCTGTTTCTGCCAATATTATCGACTCCAAATGGATTTTTTGAGTCAAGTTAAAATCTGATGGCTCTCTTGATCGATGTAAGGCATGTTTGGTCGCTCAAGGCTACAATCAGCAGCCTGGACTTGATTATGACCAAAAGTTTAGTCCGGTGGTTAAACCTGTGACAATTCGGACTGTCTTAAGTATTCCTGCTTCTCGAAAATGGCCCGTTCATCAGTTGGACGTTAAAAATGCGTTTTTGCATGGTCATCTTACTGAAATTGTCTATATGAAACAACCTACTGGTTTTGTTCATCCAGACCATCCTCACTATGCCTGTCGGTTGAACAAAGCTCTTTATGGCTTAAAGCAAGCTCCCAGAGCTTGGTTTAATCGTTTCACTGCTTTTCTGCTTACACAGAGTTTTAAAGGCAGTCGCTCGGACACTTCCATGTTTGTGTTTTCTTCTGGATCGGATATGGCTGTTTTGTTACTTTATGTTGATGACATTCTCTTGACAGCTTCCAGCAATCATCTCCTCACTACTATTATTCAGTCACTGAAAGGAGCTTTCGCAATGACGGATCTTGGTCCAATCAGCTATTTCCTTGGTATTACTATTGCTCCTCATTCTGGTGGTTGGTTTTTACACCAACGCAAGTATGCTGAGGAGTTGCTTGCTCGCAGTCATCTCATCGATGCCAATCCAGTTACAACTCCACTTGCTCCGGCTTTCAATTTTCGGTTGATGAGTCTCCGCCTTTTCACAATACGACTCTCTATCGGAGCTTGGTGGGTGCATTACAGTATCTTAATTTCACCAGACTGGATATTCAGTATGCGGTTAATCTTGTCTCTCAACATATGCATGATCCTCGTGAGCAGAACTTTCAGGCGGTCAAACGCATTCTCCGTTACATTAAGGGCACACTTCACTATGGTACACATCTCCGTGCTGGCCCCCTTGATCGCCTTGTTACATATTCCGATGCTGATTGGGCTGGATGCCCTACTACTCACCGCTCTACGACTGGTTTTTGTGTTTTTCTGGGCTCCTCACTAGTTTCCTGGTCTTCCAAGAAACAATCCACTATGTCTCGATCTTCTGCTGAGTCTGAGTATCGTGCTATTGCCTCTGCGTTGGCTGAATTCGTCTGGTTGGAGAATCTTCTGTCTGAACTTGAAATCAAGCTCTCACATCGACCGGTCATCTTGTGTGATAATGTTTATGCTACATACCTAGCTGCAAATCCGGTTAATCATGCTCGCACCAAACATATTGGTCTAGACATTCATTTTGTTCTTGAACGTGTTGCTACTGGTCTTCTTCGGGTCCTTCATATTTCCTCACAATCCCAGCTTGCAGATGCCTTTACCAAATCTTTACCTAAGGATAAATTGTATTTGTTTCGAACCAATCTAGGCATGATTACTTCTCCTGCTACGATTGCGGGGGGATGATAGAATATGAAAATAATCGAAACCCTAATTAGGATTTTCTATGTAGACGGCTAGGGTTGTTAGACTATTGTACTATAAATACCACAATGTATCATGTGAATAGTACACACAATAATTCTTTCACATTAAATTATGAAATTTGTACTAAAAATTAAATAGTACAAATCTAAAAACTCTATGTCATCAACTCTTCTCTCTATCCCAAAATTATTGTCCAGTTTGGATTTTCATTTTTAGTTTAATTTATACTAAAACTGAATTGGACAATAATTTTAGAACTGAGAAATTTTTACTTTTATTTTTTTTTTTCCGGAGAGAGGTAGTAGTATGCATGCATGTGCGCATACAGTTTAGATGATGATGAACCACGGAAACCAGCTGGCCTATGTTTCAAATGCCACTTCCTTAGACCTACTTGCACGCACGGCTAGACTACCATTGTTACATTGGTTAAGAACATATATAAGCACCCTAAAATAAATCGATGGAAGATGCAGGTTTCAAAGAAGTGTAAGTTAGCTAGAGAGAAATGGGAACCAAGATGGCTATAATCTCGAGGGAGTTGATTAAACCTTCATCTCCAACTCCCGATGAAAAAAAGGTGCATAAACTTTCTATGCTAGATCAGTTCCTCACTTCATATAGTTACACTCCTCTTTTTTTCTATGCTAACAACGAACAGTTGCCGGTTGATTCAAACACTAACCCTCTTGATAATCCTTCCAAAACGACCTTACATCTAGAGGAGTCACTGTCTGAGTGTTTAACCAGATTCTACCCTTTGGCTAGAAAGCTGAACCCGGACGATGAATATCAATCTATCGATTGTGATGACTGCGGAGTCCTTTTTGTGGAAGCTAAAGTTGATGAAGTTACCCTCTCAGAGGCAGTCCAAAGAGTACCCTTGGATTGTTTTGGACAGTACTTGCCATTTCAGACATGCTCTAAGGAATGTGACAAAGCATCCTTAGGTACTATTGATGGTTATTTGAACAAGAAGGAAATGCTATTTGGAGTCAAAATCACTTGGTTCCAATATGGAGGCCATGTCATTGGGGTATGCATTTCTCACAGAGTCGCTGATTTCGCGTCGTTGGTAACATTCATGAATTCGTGGGCTGCCACACACCGTGGTGCGGGTGGTAGCGAACCATTACTCGATTTTGATGTGGGGAGACATCTTTTTCCTCCATTGGACTATCCAGTTTGCTCTCTACCGCCTGAAAAGAAAAAAAACAAAACCTCACGCGGGCACGGTTCATTTTCAACAAGGAAAAGATAACCGAATTGAAAGAGTTAGCAGTAACTTCTTCAATAGCACAAGTTAGGGATCCCACTCGGGTGGAAGTCGCTGGCGTTTTCCTGTGGAAGCAATTCATCAAGTTAGAACGAGCTAAAAATCATCAAGCAAGTGCTACAGCAAGGACCTGGATTGGTGTGAACTTAAGAAGCCGAATAAGCTGCTTGGCCTCCTTAGCTAGTAGTGATGGCGAGTTTCCTTTTGGGAACCTTGTAGCTCCTATCACTGGTTCATTCCCTTCCATTGAGAATCTTGAAGAAACAGATCTTTTCGGCAATCTAGTTCAGGTGCTTAGTAGTGCAATAGCCATACCATTCCTCCTCTGATTCTTTTCAGCAAAAAAAGGAGACGAAGTAATCAAACCATGGGCCATGTGGTTGATTTCAGTTTACCAGTTGGTGCAGATTTCTAATTTATGAAGTGGATATTGGTTGGGGCAAACCTGTTTCAGTTGGCCCTGCGGGTACCCTATACATGGATGCCGTAATCTTAACCACCACCAGAGATGAGAAAGGTGTAGAAGCATGGATTGGCATTTCCAAAGATGATTTGGCTTTGGTTTCTGATGAGCTTCTTTCACTTGGTGCCACTAATTTTTTCCAAATCTTACACATTGAATGATCTGACTACTTTATCTGTCTTCTCTAATCCATATGTACAAAAGTTCCCCCCTACTCCACACCCGTTTTCTTTTTTGTTATTTCTTTTTTCCAAGTTTTTCTTAATCTTTCATAAGTTAAATATGTACGTCCGTTTGTTCCTTGAGCATATTTAAGTGGGTTTATTGATTAGTTCTATACTACTTATGATTTGGGAAGAAGCTATACATGTTCTCTCCTTCAAAGACTTCTCGATGGCTTGATCTTTGTTATCGATGTCTTGGGAGAAGGTACGCATGTTCATCCTGTCATTTTAGGTTTGGATCACCTTTGTAAAAAAATCCCTATCTATTCCCCATAAAATTATACTATATAATTAAAGTTAAATTTGTGACTTTAATCACACATGCTTATACCTCCTTCTTTGTACCAAAAATATAAATTGTGGCATCAAGATCTAAACATTTTTTATTTTTTATCTATTTTTATTTTTTACTTTAACATATCCTATTACCGGTTCGGTTGAGTGAATAATTTCTTTTCCTTCCAATATTGTTCAATTTTATGTTTTTCCCCTCAAGTTTGGTAAAAATTTAAAATTTTATCATCTTCATCATCGATCGGCTCTTCAATAGCCTTGATTCGCTCCCTAGATGTTTGAAAAATTGTAATGATGAAAATGTTACTTCTGTTAGCTTTTATACAGATGAAGTTTCTAATGATACTTGATTTAGATGATGAAATTATTTGAAGGTTGACGAGTCATAAATAAACCCTAACCCTAATGGGTTTGAGCCGGCTTCCTTAGAGGCTAGTCACTGCCTAAACCTATTTCGACTAGGTTTAAGGAAACATGTAACACCACCTCTATATAAAGAGGTGGTGCCTCTCCCATATTTCACATCTTCTATAGATCTTTTAATTATCTTCTATACCTTCTACACACAATACACATACCTCTCTCTCTCTATTCTCTCTATTCTCTTATTGACTTAAGTATCGGAGAGGCTACTCTCAGGAGACACCCGAGGCTCTTTCTTGCAAGTTAGGCCATCCGCCGCCGCCTAGATCATCATCACCACCACCTGTCCTAAGGCACCGTGCAAATCCATGCTTTGTCAAGTGGCATGCCTAGTGGGACCGATTTGCTTGGTCTTCACAACCAATATAAATTTCTTGGTGAAGCATGAAATTTTTTGTATCTTTGGACAGCCACGGTGTTAATTCGTTGCTCCGATTTTGCAACTAGAAGATCACGCAAAAAATTATCTTTATTTGGCCAAGGAGACGTCAGCCGACAAGTAGCACAAAGAAGCTTTTGGCCGCACAAAGAATTCAAGGAGCCGCACTTGCTCCATAGCTGATCGAGAAGAACAGTCCTGGAGTTGAAAATCTGTCAAAAAGGGCAGAATATTCAGCCGAGAATAATTTCTCAATTTGAAAATTGCCACTTAATTCCTAATAATTTTAATTATTTGGTCCCTAAAGATTTTAAAATTTTGCAGATTAGCAAGGGACAATCTCGAAAATTGGAGTTTTGAGAGATACATCTTCTCGAAGGGGCAACCATCCCTCGAGCACCATACTATTACTCAAAGTGTTCGAGAAGATGTATCTTGACTTTTATATACTCAACTACTACCTTCTCGGAATCAAGGTAACACCTTCTCGAATAATCAATTAATCTCGAGATCGAGGTACTTCTCAAACCTTGTCCTTATTATATGCTTCTTGAACATAAGTTCGTATATCATTGACATCATAATTCTTGCCATAAGTATATGATTCATGTCATATAAAAATATCTTTTTGAGTACGATCAAAGGAGTAAGTTACCAATCCTCTCGCGGTAAAACCGTACACCCTTCAACGAGAAAAATGTACTCGGGGGCACAAACAGGGATATACTCTAGGGATAAGGAATTTGAGGGATCATCCTAACATCCTCTGCTTGAACTGATATTCTTTACGAGTATCTTATTACTATATGTCATTCTATTATGATTATTATTGCAATATCCTTGTCAAGTTTAATCGCAGGATCCACAAGCTCGAGCCACTCGAGTTTAATCTTCTAGAAGTCCTTATGCACCATGTTCCTCGAGAAGACCACCACCTATCGACCATTGTCCTTCCGAGGATCTCCTTTTGTCGATCATTGTCTTCTCAAGAACCCTTCTCTAGTGGCTACTCATCCATTCGAGGACCGTCCTCTCATTGACCATTGTCTCTCACAGAGGTCATCTTTTCATAGACCATTGTCCTCCTGAAGATTGTCATCCATTCGAGGAGCGTCCTCTCACTCTCTCACAGAAACCGTCTTTTCATAGACCATTGTCCTCTTGAAGATCGTCCTTCGGAAAGACCTTCCATTGTCGACCATTGTTCTTCTGAGGACCACCCCTTGTCGACCTTTGTCTTTCTAAGGACCCCGTCATCGTCGACCCTTGTCCCCTCAAGGAACTTCTTCTGTCGACCATCACCCTTTTGTTCATCTTGCAGGAACATCGTGTTCGAGAATTGGGGCAACATTACAGAAGTCAAGAAGTCGTCAACACTCCAGCCTCGTACTTATAGCAACCCATATTCTTTTCATCAAGTCTCGTGAATGTGGTTTGCTAGGTGCACTTGAAGAGTCATAAATAAATCCTAACTCTAATGGGTTTGGGCCGGCTACCTTGAAGGCTAAGTCACCGTCTAAACCTATTTCGACTAGGTTTAAGGAAATAGGTAACACCACCTCTATATAAAGAGGTGGTGCATCTCCCATATTTCACATCTTCTATAGATCTTCTACTTATCTTCTACACCTTCTACACACGATACACATACCTCTCTCTATTCTCTCTATTCTCTTATTGACTTAAACATCGGAGAGTCTACCCTCGGAAGACACCCGAGGCTCTATCTTGCAGGTTATAGACCGTCCGCCGCTGCCTAGATCATCATTGCCGCTCGTCCTAAGGCACCATGCAGATCCATGCTTCGTCAAAGGTTTTCCTATTTAGTTTGGTTTGTAAAGTTTATACACGGTTCTAGTTTAATTGATTAGTTAGGGTTATAGTTGTAAATACACACATGTACTAGTCTTGTAGAATTAGTCAAATCTCGTGTACGTATATATATTGATTGTACAATTAATGCTAGCTATGACTAACAACTAACACTTGGTCTAAATGGTAAAGGTATTAGGCCAATTAACTATATCTCAGGATTAAACCCGAACATGAACATGTAGCCGTGATTAAAATACTTGTTGGGAGAATTTTTTCTCTCGAAAGGGACTAACCCAGCTCGAATTTCAATTAGTCGGAGCGACTTTACCGAACTTGAGGAGAGAAATAGAAAAATTAATAATATCTCTGCCTAAACCGGCCGGCAACTATATGCATGTTAAAAGTAAAAACATCTAAAGTGTTTAGATGAGATGCGTTTTACAAAGTGTTTTAAGTAAAAATATTATTTGGGTAGTTTTCTTAAATAAAATGAGAAATTTGGCTAAAGGGCAGTGGAACAGGTCAAATTAATAAAAGGGGTATGACTTAAAAAAAAAATTTATGAAGGGCAATAGTTTATTAGTCTAATTTTACAAAATTAATATAATTTTATAATAACATAATTACCCTTATTTTTATAATCTTTTTAAAATCATAAAATAAAAATTACCCCTGGCTTTTTTTTTTCCCTCTTCTCATGATCGGCCATCACGATTTGGGATTTTCCAGAGAAAAACACGACGAAGTTCTAAAATTATCGATTCCAATGGCTAAGGTGCGGATAAAGCCTTGGCAAAAATTGAGCGTGATTTCTCTGCACTATGTATGCTCGCATTTGTCCTCATGAATCGTCTACTACAAAGTTTTAGTAAGAGCAATGGCTTAATTAAAAAAATTAGTTATTTGATAAAAAATTAAGAAGAAGGTAGGAAATCGAACTTGGTTTCAAAACATTAGTTGTATCACCACCCTTAGAGATCAAGCGTTCATTGGGTGAATTACCCTGAAAACTGATAGCATAGGGCAATTCAACCCCTGGCAAAGCTGGCTGCGCAATTTAATCAGACTTCAGAGGAGAGCATTTGGTGGTTCATGTTTTGTCTTGAGTTTTTCCTTTTAAAAAAAAGGAAGAAGTTTTTGTTTTTCTGACCGAAACGAGCAACATTCAGATCTCCAAGTGGGAAGAATGTTCTTCGGCTTACTCGGCTCTGGACATGGCTGTCTGTTTGGGGTTTATAGTTTGATTATTGCTATGATTATAACTACTTGCCATGGATATGCACACCGTACTTGATGAAGGTGTAAAATTAGTAGGAAGCTAGGCCATGAAAACAAAAAATTACTCTAAGACATTATAAGGGTGGTATTGTAATTTCAAAATATTTTTTATTTTATGACTTTCGATAAAAAAGTTATCACCCTTGATAGAAAGTATTTTTTAGTCATACCTTTTTTATTAATTTGACATGTTCTACTATCCTTCAGCCAAATTTTCTCAAATAAAATGATATCTCCGGTTAATTTTGTAAAAATTCCATTAAATTGATTAAAATTGATTGGGAAAAAATATTTTAGGAGACTAATTTTGTTGAGGAAAATTTTGTGGCAACTGCACCCAAATTTTGGGAAACCAAAAGTTAGTTTTATCCATGAATAAATAACCCCATAGCTATCTTTAATTGGACAAAACGTTATGCTATCTCTAATTTATTTTATTTTAACCTGTGGTATTAAGGTAAACTCAAAACTATTTTTTATCTGCCGCATTTCATTCTCAAAACATTATTAAATACAATTTTTAAATTCACCTTATCTCTATCTACGTTTAGCAAGAAATATCAATGACAATTGTCTATGTTTTACCCTCTAATTTCAAATTTTTATAGAATTCCAATGCTTTTAATTAGGGCAATACACATAACAATTAAAGTCTCATATCGTTTTTTTTTTTTAATAATTATACAAACCCAAAAGCCACAGAGGAGAAAGTTTTTTATTTTTTGAAACGGTGACAAAAGAGAAAGTAAAATAAAGGAAGATTCAAATTGGGAACTCTGATTATTGGTGACCGCAATCGAACTTGTAGAAAACTTCTTCACACTAAAGCGAGATTTTTGAGAGCATTGGGACTTGGGAGGCGTCTTAATTTATGGCAGCCACTACTGTTCATACTTGTTTGGTCAAAGATGGGGGAACTGTGATCTCATAGGACAAGGCTTATTACCTCATCAATGAAACATCTCACAGAAGTAAAAGATGATCCTCCCTCCTCAAGGACAGACTGACTCTTAGCTTGCATTTGCTTCACCTTCTTCCTCACTTCACTCTCTGGATCCATAACAAGCCTAATCCCTTTTTCAATCAATTCCGCGCTTACATCTTCGCTACCCAGGTCGGGGGTTGCCGGAGCACGCATCACGTAGTCCATTTTAATCTCCACCGCGAGCTCCAAATCCTTCACCAGAAGGAATGCAGTCACCTGATTCTCGGCGTAAAGCGGCCAGGTCGCGATTGGCACGCCGTACCAAACACTTTCAAGTACAGAATTCCATCCACAGTGGGAAACAAAGCCTCCAATTGCAGGATGTGACAAAATGGCAGCCTGTGGCACCCATCCTACGACTTTTCCGACATCCGAGTTGCGGTGTGCGAAGCCTTCCGGCAATACTCCATCCAGATTCTCATAGTCAGTAGGAGACTCAAAGTTTCCTGGAGGAGGTGGCTTTCTCAATGACCATAAGAAACGGTAACCCGAGCGCTCGATTCCGTTGGCCATTTCCTTGACTTGGTTGTCATCGAATGCTCCTGCGCTTCCAAAGCAAAAGAACACAACAGAGGAGTTTGGTTGAGCATCCAACCATTTCTTAATACTTTGTACACCTTCTTGTTGCTGCTGCTGCTTCTGGTTATCATTCCATTTCCCTCCTTTGTGGTTTAACAAAGGTCCAACTGCGTAAACAGGCGGGAGGTTAGCGTCCTTACTCAAAGCCTCAATGGCTTGGGTTTCCAACTCATTGAAGGAGTTGATTATGATTCCCTTAGCCGCCCTGTATCTCTTGGCCACGTCCAGGAACACATTCCTGCCTCCTTCTTTGTACAAAAGCATCGATGGCAAAACTCGGGTCGGAACCGGATTGATATACGCTGGAACATCAATCTCAGAGACCTTAAGATCATTGACATCTACATTGTGATCATCTCTCAAGCTTTGGAGATGCGACATTAAGGCAATCATTGAAGCCCCAAAAGGCGAAAACACGTAATATGGGACCTCAAATTCAATGGCAACATCAAACATGGATGTGTAGAGAACATCGAAAACCACCCCAGCCAGCTTACAATTCTCCGACTTACTTAGTTCAGCAAGGATTTCTTTGACAAGAGGTTTACGGCTGTTTAGAAACTGAGAGAACATGTGAATGGTTGGTGGAGATTTTTGTGAAGAAGGGTCGGTGGTAACCTCTGGTTTGAGATCAATAAACTTGATCCGAGGATCCAAGGATTCCGCTAAGGAATTCTTGAAGCTCAGGATGCTTGTGCCAAAGGGGAGGTGCATAATCAGGATTGTGATGGAGAGATTATTGTTTTGAGTGATAAGCAGATTCGCAAACTCTACGCATGGCACCAAATGGGCTACACTTGCTGCTGGAATCAATACCAGCTCTGCTTTTTTCATTTCTGCCATTGTTGGTGACAGGATATGCTAAAGGAGGAGGAAGGATAAGAGGAAAATTTCCACCCACACTTTTGTCCGTGCTATCAATGCCCGGTACTTCTCTGCCTAGCTAGTTGGTATAAATAGATAACATAAGAATTAATAATCTCCTAAACCCTATATATACGTAGATAAAATCATCTTCTTCTCCATCTTCTCATCATGCCAAGATGTGAAAATAGTTTTATGCAATTTTCTTGTCATAGTTTCAGTATTTATCATTAAGTGAGATTATTTTCAAGTATTAGTGTTGATTGTCTGAACTGATCGTAGGAGTTATCCGAAATTTGTCAGTGATCGATGTTATTTGCGTTATTGATTGTTGTCCTTGTTCGAGAAGATATGGCTATTGTAGATCTGGTGATTAGATCTACGAAATGGAATTTTTATCACAACACAATTGATATGTTCGAAATCATATTTTAGTACGTGATGATCCCAGAGTTGAAGAATTTAACCAAATATATCTGAGTTGGTCGAATTACATTGAAGGCAGCTGTTTCAAATTTGATTATACATGTGCACTTAAATGGTTTATGTATGTATTACTTTTCTGTCAATCACATTATTGGACGAATTCTAGTACTATTAATGTGAAATCGTTTTTTTTTTAAAAAAAAAGATAACATAAGAATGAACTGGGACCTGGTGAACTAAGGTGACTAAAGCTATACCGTTGAAGAATGAATGATCGATCTGGAAGTTAGCACAGGCTTTCTGGCCAAGGTAACTTCCGGGAACATGCAGCACGTGATGCTTCATGTATATAATGGAGTCTCTTTCAGTCTTCCACCCTAGTAAATACCTTTGGTTATCTTCGAATTTTATCTTTACTTCGAGGCTTGTGTGAGTCGCCTAAACAAAAGACAAATTCGACTTAGGAGAGACTGTCGAAAATATAATTGAAAAATGATCAACCTGATACAAGAAGGGAAAAAATTTGATATACTTGGAAGTCAACGCAAGCTTTCTAGCCAAGACAACTTCCCGTCTTCGAGGAACATGCAGCACGTGTTTCTTCATCTATGCACGACAGCGAACAGCTGGATCTTCAACATCATGACTTGGTCTCTTAGATAAACAATTTTCCTTATTTTCTTACGCCCTCTGTCTCAAAATAATTATCCAGTTTGAATTTTTACTTTTTAGTATTTTCTTTCCCTGGATTTTGAGACAACTCATCCGTCACATTGTCCTTCCTTTGTTCTTGGTTGATATAATGTGGCTGAAATAGAAATGGAAGGCAAATTAACCAGAACCTAAACCAAAACCAGAACCAGTACCTATTACCAAAAAGAGAGAGAGATGGAAGCTGCCAAGATAGAGATAATATCGAGGGAGTTGATTAAACCCTCAACACCAACCCCCGATGAGCAGAAAGAGCTTAAATTCTCTTTTCTTGATCAGCTTCAAGGGCATGCTTTCATGCCTCTTCTGCTCTTTTATCAACCACCGCAGCTATTTGACTCAAAAGATGCTAAAGTCGTTGATCCTTCCGAAGCTACACGGCACTTAAAGCAGTCTTTATCGGAGTCTTTAACCAAGTTCTACCCTTTGGCAGGCAGGCTCAACCCGGATGATCATCATCTCTCCGTTGATTGTGATGACTCTGGAGCTCTATTTATGGAAGCCAAGGTTGATTCTTCCCTCTCAGAAGCTGTCCAGAATACTTCTATGGAGAGTTTTGCGCAATACTTGCCATTTGATCCCTTTTCCAATCAGGTTAATCTATTGGGTGCTTACCCAATAGATGAAATACTATTAGGAGTTCAAATCACTTGGTTTGGATGTGGAGGAAGTGCCATTGGGGTATGCCTTTCCCACAAAGTAGCCGATTTGATGTCCTTGATTACATTCATGGATTCATGGGCCGCAATAAATCGCGGAGACGGTAGTTCATCTAAATCCAAACCCATCAATTTTGATGCAGGGAGGCATCTTTTTCCCGCCCTAGAGTTCCCTATTCCTCAGAATCGTGCGGATTGGAAAGAAAAGTACGTGTACAAGAAATTTCTTTTCAACAAGGAAAAGATAGCGGAATTGAAAGAACTAGCGATTTGTGCTTCATCTTCGTTGAAGGATCCCACTCGTGTGGAAGTTATTTCCGCTTTTATATGGAAGCATTTCATCAATATGGGACGAGCTCAACGTCAAGATGGTGATAACAAAACAATGTTTCAAATGTGGAATTCTATGAACCTGAGAACCAGAATCAGTAACTTGGCTTCTTCATCATTGAATGATGAGTTTCCTTTCGGGAACTTGTCGATCGTTGCAACTGCTTCATTCATTCATGATGAAGATACGAAGAAAACAGATTATGGCAATCTAGTTCGAATTGTTAGCGATTCAATGAGGAAAGTAAATGAGGATTATGTTTTTAATTGTGCAGTTCCTTCACTGAAACTATCTGCCGCAGGTGTCGCCGGACTGGAAGAAATGCAGAAACCAACAATGAAGATAAGTGTTAGGGTTATCACCAGCTGGTGCAGATTTCCAATATATGAAGTGGATTTTGGTTGGGGAAAACCTGTTTCAGCTGGTCCGGCGTTCGGTAAGCCACCTGGACCTGTGGTTCTGTTACTTGATACAAGATGCGATGACGGAATAGAAGCATTAATTGTCATGTTAGAACGTGAATTGGCTATACTTCCGAATGAGTTTCTTTCACTTGCAACTAATTTCTTTTGACGTGATATGATTATTATAATCGCCTCTAGCAGAACAGGAGCGGCAGGACTTTGTCATGCTTGTCAGGTCAATTTTTTGTATCTTTAGTGCTCGCAATTACGTTGAAGAATTCTAAATTCATAAAGGTAGTTAATTTTTGTTTTCCAATTGAAATGAAAGTACAACCTGATCGAGCTATTTAAATGTTTATCGAGAAAAAACAATTGAGTAGAGTGAACTAAGGAACTTCATGAACTGATCCAATCTCGAGGGATCTGCATCACATACTTGGCTTCAGTTTCGGCAGGCTTTCCGCTGACAAATTAATTTGGCACTAACGTCCACAGACTGAAGAACACCTTCCTCGTCAATTATGTAGAACCCATTAATGTCACCAACTTCATTGGATGAGAAGGTTCTTCCTATATTACCCCTAATGAAATGTATCAGAATTATACAAAAGATTGTTAAAAAAACCTGATAAAAACATAATTAGATTGTTATTAAAGTATCTACTTTGGTTTGATTGAATATTCACAATTAATAGACCATATTCTCCAAGTGATATGCGAGATATGAATTTGTAATTTTCATAGAATTTTTATTTTCTATAGTTTCATCCTTTTTTTTTTTCATAAACAGAGAATTTATTCATACTCCAGAAGTAAAATCGAATACAAGTAAAACCTCTTCTCTCTCTTTTTCTTCTATTTTCTTGTTCTTATTCTTAGTTGCATATCACTAGTTTCATAGTAATTTCTTGACACAATTGTTATTAATATCGATAATTCTTATTCTTAGTTGCATATTGGTAACATATCTATCACAAATTTCACTAAAAGGAGAGACGAAATTGGAGTTTTTGTAAATTGCTAGCATGACTTGAAGTTCTAAGCTATTAATGCCTTTTAGACTAAAATATTAGGGATTACAATAGGTCATGGGTTCAAGTTACACCAGAGGTAAGTGGGGAACCACTATTAATCCTCTTGAGAAAAGAAAAGTAGGGATTACAATTTACAGGACATAATTTTCTATTTTGATCAGATTTCTTCTTTTAGGGATATTCAATAAAAATTTAGTAAGATTGTAGTGTAGATACAAGAAATTGTTAAATCTGTTGTAATCTTATAAATATATATCGGTTGAAACAACAATCATCAAATAAGAGAATTCAATATTTTCCTTTTCTTCCCTTGTAACTTCTTCTTGAATATATATCTCCGACCACCAAAATCTAACAAGCTGATATACGAGACGTGCACTCATTATTTGTGACAGCTCTAAGATATGGCCAAGAGTTTCACAATTTTTTCCTATTTTTTGGCAAATAATGAAATCAGATTCCACACTATGCTTTAAGACAATCGATGGTAATGTCCTAAAGGGCAGATGAGAGTGTTCAACATACAAGACAAGAGTCAGAACTTAGACGATCAAACTGGCTAGACTTTATATATAGATAAGATATGATGTATAGAAAGAGAAATTATGCATAAGTTGTGTGCATAGAGATTGTGTAAATAAAAAAGAGACTATCTCTTTATATAAAGTTGGTGATAAGTGATTAGACAGTTACTATTAGGAGTAGGTTTACTCATAATTGATAATTTACTGTATTAGAAAAGAGGTGACCTATATTCTAGAAAATAGTAGATACCACATTATCAAATGCACCCAACAAGCTATATTTCTAAGATTTGTTGAGAGGAATATAGGTTGCTATGACTATGAGGTGTTAATGTGGAATAAAACTCAAATTTGTATTTTACTGTGATATCTTAGTTGTGCGGGATAGAAAAATATAACGCATGATTCCTTCTTTGCATTTGCTATACTTTTTTTTTTTTACGGATATACTTCATTCATTCATTAGAGAGATGATAGAGTCCATAAATTATACTTTAATTGTGAAAAATTATGGACTCGGGTGGATTTAATTCATTGGTTTGGTTATTATTTCATGTTAGGAGCTAGAAATAAGAGATTCGAGCTGTTTTGGGCAAATTTGGACATCTAGGGACCTTTTTACACAATTGAAGAAGTTTTGGGGTAAAAATAACAAATTTGCAAAGTTGAGGGATCAAAGTTGAAAATTATGGATCTCTTCTTCTTTTCCAGCGGCTGACCTAAATTTCCTTTATAAATGGACTTTTAGTTTTATTTCTGAAGAGCAGCCGTGTGTATGCCAAACTAGCACCTCCCACCTTTACGTTTCGAAACTTTTCTTGGTTTTCCATGGACTTCCATGGTAGCATCCATGAGTGGCTAATTCTTTCTGATTCAAGGGATTAATTAGTCGTTTCATTGTGAGATTATGCTTTAATTTATCTTTCTTACTTTTAATTCTTGTATTTGATTATTCTTGTTTTCATTTCATGAAAGTAGATATCATTTGAACTGACAACTTGATTTGATTTTTACTTTCTATTGCTATCTATTGGTTGAATGTTATGTAATAGACACGAACCAATAATACTAAGTAGTAATTAGGCTATGTATGTGTATTAGTGAGACATAGGATGCACATTCTAGTTTAAATGTGGAATCAACGAGGCAAAACTAATTAATTGTAGCTATCTATATTAATTAGTTTTGGTTCAACTAGTTCTTGTGTGTATTGTTGTTGTGGTTAGACATGGAACGCTATCATGCCCAGTCTGTCATAGCAAGATTTGATTGAATGCTGGGTTTGGTCAATGTTTTTGAGAAGTCCGAATTTGTTATAGCTATCCTAATAAATTTGGGGGTTGAATACTTGAATGTAAGAATGCCTTTTGACCTATGATAAATGAAATAATTAAGTTGTTTGTCTCTTGGATCAATAGTTTGTTACTTTGATTTTCTTTCTTTTATTACTTTCTGTTATTTGAGTTTTTCTTATCATAGATTTAGGAACCACAAATCAAAAACCCACCTTTAAATTAATTTGAAGGAAATAATCCATCGTTCCCTGAGAAGACGACCTTACTTCCCTATATTACGTAGTTAGAAGTAGGTTATTTTATTTGTGTGGCTTGACACCCCATCAAGAGAATATTTATTACTTTATTCATTCCAAGATAACCGCCTAGTGTGCTGTACTTGTTTTAATATGAGGAAAGTATGGCCTCAACCTAGGCATGACCACGGTTTTGGTTGTAACCGAAACTAGTCCGTCGGTTCATAAATTGGACCGAAACCGTAAAAGACAGCTTATAAAATCGTAACCGGACCCTCTAGTCAAGGGTCGGTTACGGTTTTAGTATTTGAAAAACTGTAAACCGAGACTTCACACCGGAGGTTTTAAACTGGCAGTTCAGACCGTCATAACCGGTCTTTTAACCTTCCTTTTTATAAAAATTATTGAAAATTTCTAATTAGAAGTTAGTTTTTTATGTAATTTTTAATTTTTTTATACTTGTGTTTTTGTTATTTTTGAACGATTAGTAAATGTTATGGAAAATTGCAATGAGAATCCATTAAGTAATTGTCTATTGGGATTCAACTAAGTTCTAAACAATATTTTATATACTACTTTATTTTCAAAATATAAGCCACTTTCTATTTGTGGTTGCATTAAATTATAAATCCATTTTTTTTCAATGCATAATTTCATAAAATTCTATCAAATTATCATTGTATTTTAAATGATATTTATAGAATCTTAATACATAATTACTTAAATTAAGTGATTGACCTAATTAATTTTAGGTAAATGATATTTTTTCATTTATTAATAACCAACCCTTAGTTCTTGTGCCACTCAAAATGGACTTTTATATATATATATATATATATATATATATATATTAAAATAAGAGACTACTTATTTTCAATTGTTAATTCATGGAAAACCTGAAAATGTCATTCTATATTTAAACATTAAAAATTTGGTTATCCATTCTACTAAAAGTATTTCTAATTTTATTTTTCTTATACACTTATTTTTTTATGAAATCAATTTCTTTAGTTTTATTTTAACATAAAAATGAAATAGTAACAAACTGAATTACAATTGTACAAAAATCTAATTAAACCCGTAAAATATTGGATTGAAATTGTCAACAACACGAAGTAAAACCGTCAATAAACTGAATCTGAAACCATCCGAAAGCAGACCGGAACCGAAAGTTTATAAATCAAAACCGTACCCGTAACTGTAACTGTAACCGTAGACTTAGGGGATGATTAAGATTCATATATTTCTTGTTCACGCTTGAACCGTGAACCGTCGATTCTGAACCGTAGCCATGCCTACCCTCAACCATCTGAAAAAAGAATTGATACGGGTACAACTAAAATGAAAAAGATAACCATATTATAAATAATATATTTTGATGGGAATCATATATTACATTGTCCTCTATAACTTGTCAAGCCAAGAAAATAATTTGTTAATATACTTATTTTTATTAAGCTACAATAGGTAATAATTAATTTGTTACATAACTTTACATAGCAAAAAAAGAGCAAGCAAGATCTACTTGGGGAAGCACAACATAAATTTATCTTTCGGCTTTGAGGTGTCCAAGCAATCACAGACCTCACTTCTCGACAACATATAGTTTCCTACTTTTCTTCATGACTTTGGATCTTCACAACAACAATTCGTAGAATAGATAAAGGAAAGAAATCAATTTACAAAAAGAGAAGAAAAAATTAATCATCAAACAAGTATGGTCTCAATTATTCAGAAGGAAATTGACACACGAACCACTAGTTTTGTTTCAATCAGAAATTAATTGAGGGAGGCTCAATCCAACAGGGAAAAAAGGGACAACATACCTTAATGCATTGCCATCGAGAAGATTAAGCCATTTATACTACAATTGAAGAGGGAAAAAATAGTTTACTGTGTAAACTTGTGAGAAACAATCAAAATCAACCTTTTCATGAAGATTAAAATAGAAGAGAAGCCTATTAACTAACCACCATCATAGTGTTTACACGAGCAACCTACCCAAAGCCATTAGAAGACATGAAAAGAAGTACTACTCACGGAAAACAACATTGGCGGCCGCAAATAAAATTCATATACAAGTAAAGTAGTAAGAAAAGAATAATAATATGGATTAGACCATCATGGATACATTCCTTCTATTCTTCTTCAGGAGTGTTTGCATAGACTTTTGATACTGGTTTAGAAGCCGGATGGAAATCATGACTAGGGTTGAATGGGGTAAGGTTTGACTATATTCAAATTCTTAAATAAGA